CGGGTGGGTGGGCACGGTCCAGCCCCCCTTGTCCCCCCCTTGTCCCCCGCTGTCCCCGCCCTGTCCCCCCGTCCCCGGGCGGCTCTGGCGTGTGAAGGTCGCAGCGGGCGGGGGAGGCGGGCGCTCGCCGGGGCTCTGCGGCACCGAGCGCTCCTCGCAGCGGCTCCGGGGGCTCTGCGGGAGGAGCGGGGAAAAGCCCCGGAGCAGCCGGGAAAACCAGAAAGAGTTTTGGAGACCCCCCCGCGTCCCGAACCTTTGCTCTCGGTTCTTTTCCCCCTCTCTTTTTTTTTTCTTCCTTCCTCTCCTCTTTTCTCTGTTCCTCCCACCCGCCCGCTTTGATCTCWCGCTTGGTGCATTGCTCAGGGTGAATAATAAATTGTTGGAAACCTTTGTTAGAAATTGCGTTTGTATGGGGGGTGGGGGGAAATGAGACTTTGTATGGGCTGCGTGACGGTGCCTGGCTGCCATCCAGGCTCTCAACTCCTCTTGCAGGGATTACAATTTATTATTATGGATTAATAAAGTGAAAAAAAAAATTAAAAGACCCCAAAAAACCCAAAAAAACCCTCCAAACCCCAAAACTGCTGGTGCTAGAAAAATCCCTGCCAAAGCAGCAAAAGCAGAAAGCTGAGGGGGAAGAGTTTCAGCACTCAGAATGTGCTGAAAAACCTCTCCCTGTACTCAAAACCCTGATTTTTCAATCAAAACCCCCCTCAGAAACCTCCCCGGGTGCTTTAATCCCGGCACAAACGGCCAAATCCGGGCTGGGAGAGTTAGGCAAGTCCTCAGGTTTAACTGGGCCGAGCTCACGGAGTCTCGCACCCCTCTGCTGGCTCATTAAAATGATGCTGTCATAGGACTGCAGCACTGCAGTCAGAGCCCGACTCAGGGTTTAATCCTGCGATCTGCCGGGCCGGCCTTCCCAAACTCAGCTCCAGCCCCCGCTTCACCTCCRGAGTTCCAAATTATCCGCGATTTTATGCGAAGGTTTTATGCTAATGAAGCAATCAGGGGTTTGGAATGAGCGCTGTTAATTTTGTTAAAAGTTTTGTCTTTTGGCACGAAGCCCTTTGGATTTCTTTTGGGGTCAAAATGGAATTACTGCCCATCAGGGCGTCGTGTTTTGTGTCTTTTTTAGAAAATAAAACATTGATTTTAGGGTAAAATAAATGTTTTTTTAGGGTAAAATAAATGGTTTTTTAGGGTAAAATAAATGGGTTTTTTAGGGTAAAATAAATGGGTTTTTTAGGGTAAAATTAATGTTTTTTGGTTAATTAATGTCATTTTTTTCCTCCTGATGGTAAAGAATGGGAGGGGGGAGCAGATCAAGGTTTTATCCATCGGGAAAACTCACAGTGGGAGGAAACACACCCGGTTAACAGAGGTGCTCGGGAGCTTTTATGATCCTTTTAATCTCCTGGAAACAAGGAGTGGCAGATGGAACTTTGTCATAAAACTCGCTCTTCATTAAACACCTCGGCGTTTGAAAACCCATTTACCCCCCCTGAATAAATTTATTTACGCCAAATAAATCGGTGTTTTATTATCAAGCGGCACTGCGTTTGATTTATTTATTTAATTAATAGCGATTCCCAGAGAAGCAAACTTTTATAAAACACATAATGTGAGAGAAAAAAAATAAAAACCTCAGGGTATTCAGAGGAGAAAAAGTTGGCCTTCACAGGGATGATTGCTGCAGAAATTCTCAGATAAAAAAAACAGGATTTTAATTGCAAACGGAGCCTCTCAATGCGATTTTTTGTCTCTGATCAGATGCAGGGGGGACAGGGCTCCCTCTCYGCTCTCCTGAAGGTGATTTCAAGGTTGAAATGAGTCAGGAAAATCAGCCTGAGCCTCTTTTTCTGATGAGTAATTAATCCCTTTTCCCCTCTCTGCCCATCTCCTCTCCGCAGATTTGGGAATG